GGTCGACAGTTCAAATCCACTTGCTGCTCCTTGGAAATATATATCAGGTCACTGTGAGTCGGAATTGACTCGATGGCACTTAGCAACAACAACAATGTTCAGTTGGCATAACATATTCCACAAGGACAATGGTTTACATTCTATTTTGGTGAGTAGCAACTAGGATCTTAAAGCTCATTACTGGCCATCCAAGGTGCAACTATTGGTCTCTCCATGTGTGGAAGACAGAAGAGTGCTAAAAATGAAGAGTCTTGAAATCTATTAGTCCAATGGACCAGTGTAACAAGTGAACATCAGTCACTACAACTCTAAGAGCAGAAGAACTAGATGGCGCTCAGCTACCACTACTAACTACCCTGAAAGGGATCACATTAGAAGGTCCCAGATACAGTGGAAGAATATGTGGAACAAAATTCAAAATTATAAAAATGACTGGCTTCAGGCCAGAAAGAGACTGGAGGAAACCAAGACTATGGCCCTTAGTCACCCTTCAGGTCTGGAACAGAAGTCACCCTTACCTCATGGCCCAATTTCTGGCCAAGCTGTAGATAGGTATGTAGTGAGGACAATAACACTAGTAAGGTGTGCTACTATGGAAAGGTCAACAATTCAAGATTGAAAGGATACCGTTTACTTAAGGACCAAGTTCAGAAAGGTTGAAAAGGAGGGTGGAATGGATGTCAGCTATGATGTACACCTATGCAGAGAGGCTGCGGGCTAACTGTTGTTGCATGCAAAGATCGCAATCATTGAGCTGAAGCAGATGGTTTGTTGACGGTAAAACTGATGATCTGCTCTGTGAAACGTGACTCAGTTCACAACAAAACATGTTTAGTTTGGTTTTTTAAGCATAAGGATTATTGAAGGGGAAACTAATTTGCTCTCTGAACAGTAATTCAAACCATAAGAAAATAGTCAAAAAATGAATAAGACCGGAAAAATTATGCCTGATATATACTGCTAAAGAAAAAAATAAAGTATGCAATTTATTTTTGGAGTATTTCAGTTTGGAAAAAAATAAAATATAGTTTGTAAATGAAAAGAGTAAGTATAATTTTTAAATGGAATCATCCTGAATGATTTGAAAATTCAAATTGCACTTTGTTAAGTGCCAGGCACTATGTGAAGTTCTGGGGATATAAATAAGAATAGGTTAAATTTAGTGTCCTTATGGAGCTTAAACAAATAATGGAGAAACTGAGGTAGACAAGCAATTCTAATTATGAATAATGAGAGCTTTGATAGAGGTGTGTCTCAAGGCTCTGGAAACACTGAGAATGATTAATTTATTCAGAGGTTGTATTATTTTGGAAATTAATTTATGTTCAGTACATCATTACCAAATGATACTTAAAAAAATATATATGAACTATGACTGAATTTAAGCATGGAACAAACCAGAAAATCAAAACTCTGACGAATCTCAAAAGGTAATGGAATTGTTTAATAGACTTTGAAGTATACAGTCTACCTCAAAAAACAAGTCTGAGAATTAGACCACCCTTGCTAGACTTGGGCAATCATTCACATAACTAGATTGGAGAATAATTTAATTTCAGAACATGTATTTGAGGGAAAAAAAAAAAAATTGAAACATGGAATTAGACCTGACTCCATACATATATAGGTCAGTTTCAAAGAGAAAGGCATCAGAAACAAATATGAGTTGTTTCGTGTGTGTAATTATCCAATTAGAAGAATTGTGCTTGAAAAGATCTTATGGTAAGCACAAAAATAAGTCTTTTTATTTACTGTAGTTTATAAGGTTCTCAAACATGATCTAGAGACTTGGGTCTTGGCACTGTTGTTAAAAGCCATCAATTCGGTTGTGACTCGCAGTGACCCTGTGGAGGGTTTCCAAGGAGCAGCTGGTGAGTTTCAACTGCTGACCTTGTGATTCAAACTGACCTTGCAGTCCAGTGCTTTATCCCACAGAGCCACACCAGTTCTGCCAATTATCAGCTATGTGTAAATCAATTCACATGATTTTTCTGAGTCTCAGTCTCCTTATGAGAAAGGATCATTTTACCAGTAGCGTCTTATGATTCTAAACTAGTAACTCCAGAAAATCATACACCATATTATTTTCCCTGATCTCAATATTTGTTGTTGTTTTGTTGTTAAGTGCCGTTGAATCAGTTCCAATTCACAGTGACCCTGTATAGGGTTTCTGAGGAGTGTCTGGTAGATTTGAACTTCCAACCTTGCAATTAACAGTCAAAGGCTTATCCTACAATGCCACACCAGGACTCCTCCTGATGCCAATATTGGCTACAGGTAATTATAAAACCTCGGTAGAGTATGAGTCTTTCACCAATAGTTTGCCAAGCCAGGATATATACATCAGATTCTCCAAATTATATTTTCAATTTACCAAAGATAATTTGGCAATTGAGATGGGCAGAGATTATATTGTGTAAGATCAATAGTACACACAAGTTCTTTTATGCATAACAGTGTACAATTAAATATAACATTTTATTTTGGTGATAATACTTGACAACACAAAGTGGTTCTAGAGCCACTTGGATGTCATAAAGCCACAAAGTGGTTCTAGAATCTAGTAGATTCCATAGCCTCATTAATGAGCGAGGAAACACACACTTTCCACCAGATAGAATCCTTTTGATAAAATATCTGACCTCCTCTTGGATAAAGGAAATAAAGAAAAGCATAAATCCCCAAAAGACAACGTTAAATATCATTGTATGCTATTATGCATACAATAATTTATGTGTACTATTTCTGTTACAGAATATTATCACTGTCCATGTCATTTTTACTTAATGTTTAAAGTGAGTAAGGAGTTGCAGTACCCCTATGTGTGCCAGAGAGGAGTTTGATAATGGAAAAAAATAAGTGGAATATCATTTTGTCAGCAGATCCAATAAATGTCACAGTAATTATATGCTATGCTACATAATTCTAAGTGTAATTGCAGTATAATTTTTCTGACATGTATTTACTATCCATCTACACCATAATTATTATGCATGGATTATGTTACCTTGTTTTTCAAGTTCTACACTGTTTTCTTGAGATGCAGACTTTTCAAATATGCAGATTCCTTTTAGAATATATGATACCTACAACACCTATGTCATCAGAGCATCTCAACATATAAATAAAAACAGCAATGATATTAATATTTACACAAACATCTAATGATCTAGGACGTCAGCCCTTTATTATTTCTTAATTCATTTTATAAAATAAAGAATGTCTAGGAAAAAGTACTCGTTCTGTAACTTTTCTGTAATATAAAGGAGAACCAGGCTTATTCTTGGAGTGAGTGAAGTGGTGGACTTACAGTGAACTTTGAACTAAGCTCCAAAGATAAACCTGGTTTTTCCTGCTTTTTCCTATATTACCTCTTCTCTAATCAATAAGACGATCCACATCGAACTCCATACAAGGGATCTTGACAAATTTAAATGAGGATGCCTTATACAATTTGAAATGAGATGGAACATCCACACAATACATGTCTTGGAGTTCAACAGTACAAGGAGCCTCAGTGAATAAGAACATGTGTAGGTCAACTCCTTTTTGTTCTATCTAGAGGCCACATCCACAGAAAGTCACATTAATACTTGATATAAGCAAATGCTATGCTCTTTGACAAATTATAATATATAGAAATATATATTTAACAAAAAGAAAACAGGATGAATTATGTGAAGTTTCATTCTGTGTATTCAGAGCATTAAATACATTAAGTATTCTCTTTGGAAAAACAATATATTTGGCCTTGCTGATGACACTGATAGTTCTTTACCTTAGTTTTAAGGCTACAAAATCACCCTTGATTTAACAACTCAACAAAACTATTTGACACTAGAGTTGGTATCTAAAGTTTATGTGCTTTCTAAAGAACTCTATTTCTACATTATATTTTATATACTTTCTATTGAAAATAAGTTTATATTCTATAAAACAAATTTTAGTTTGAAAACACGAAAATAACTATGAAGTTGTGAATGCCAGTTAATGATATCTAGCTATCATTCTGCTCTGGGACATCACATGGGTATCCACAACAGAGTTTATTCGGTACTAACATATAGTATATATTATAATAATATTTTCAATTTGGAGACTAGTTTTAACCTAATCAAATTCTTAAGAAGCAATTCTTTCTAGTTAATATCACTGCTTTATATGGGAAAACACAATTTAAAAATTATATTTACCCCACTGAGTAGCTATCATCTTGTCTAGATGGGTCTGATGAAAGGAGATGGGGATAAGATTCGTAAGATTCAATAGTGAATAACTGTTATGACTAATCGCAACTGTCACACTTGTAAAGGTAGAAGTTTTGTAACAAAAGGGGAGTGGTTAATCTTACAGTCCAGAAACAGAGGACCCTAGGACCATCAAGAGAGAAACACACAAATATAATGCAGGACCTTACCCAGAGAAGCAGCAGCGCCAGAGATGGAGGCAGAGATGGGGGCATGGAGAGGGGGAGCAGCTGAGGACTCTAGATTCATCAACTAAGAAGAGAAGGACTAAGAACTGGTGACTAGGAGCAGACTTGCAGAATGTACCCTATGGAGATGTAAATTATTATATATGCCTGAGTGGTTTTTTGTTTGTTTGTTTTTTAAAATGCTAAAGTGGATAGAGAGAAATACTTTTAACTGATGGTATATGGAGGGGATTATAATCAATGTAATGAAGCAAGTTATATGAATTGTTGAATGTGAAACTGATGATGTGCCCTGTAAACTTTCACTCAATCCATAATAAAACCTTAAATTAAATTTTAAAAAACTATATGTATAAATAGTAAACACACATAATGATTTACTTTTAGACTAAAATGTTCTCCTAGGACAAATGGAATATTAAAAACTATGTATTTTTTATAGAACCAATTAACATTAGACTTCCAAACTTTAAATTATTTTAATTGCCCCCACCAAAACTTGTGTTAGGCATCTTTTAGAAAGCTGACTCTCTCTCAAGGCATTCCCAGGGAAAATGATACTTACTAACTGCAGAGTCATAGGATGTGGAATTGTGCTCCCCTCTCATGAACGGGTATGGTGACAGGTAAGCATGCATGCAGTTCTTAGATGGTGGCTGATTTGCTAGGAAGGACACAAAACAATGCCATTTATTATTGAGAGGCTGAGTTACAGATTGTTCCTAGTATAACAGAAATATAGAACTAGGATCAAGATGCAAAACAAAACTGCAAGTCAGACCAACAAATTGAGAGACTTGTAAGAGTGCAGGAAGAACGCCTAAGAGTTCATATAAGGGATCTGGAAGGTGAATTGATCCAGAGTATCTAGCTGCACAATATAATTCAGAGAAATAGGCTCCAACGCCCTCAATATCATCTTATAATTGAAAGCACTATACTACAGTTCTTTTCACAAACATACACTCTAGCATCTGGCATAATGCCAAGCACATATAAGGCATTCAATGAATACTTGTTTAAAACCCTAACAAACTTAGGGTTAACTTTGATTAGTTTCAATAAATATATAAATTCTCCTATATTTTATTTTTAAGGAAACGATGCAAATGATCCATCATGCAGCCTGACAATTCAAATACATTTTTGGCATTCGAAAGAAATCACAAGAAAACAACTTTTATGTTGTGTGCAAATGTAAGAATTTCATTGTGTATCCTTGAGGGAGGGGTTAGAATTGCTTCTTGTGGAATGTTACTTCTATGCCACTTTAAACAGAAAATATAGTAAAGTATTTTCTTTCTCTCTCTCTCTCTCTCTCTCTCTCTCTCTCTCTCTCTCTCTGTCTCTCTTTCAAGTTCTTAGCTAAAATCTTCCTCTTCCACAAGCTGGTTAACTCCATTTTAGCAAAGTCTAAGTTGCTTCCACAGGCAGATTACATCACGAACACATGCTTAGTCTCTTCTCCAAAACGTACTGTAAAATGGTCCACCAAAGATTTCTCTCTAATATGCCATCCTACTCCTTACTTCTCTCAAATATAACATCTCATCTCAAATGTTGTGCCTTTATATGTGATAACTTGCTGTCAGTTTGCTTAAGTCTTCAATAAGCTCTCACTTTTATTATAAATTATTTAATATTGACCACTGTATAAATAACTTAGTTAGATTTATTTGGAGGTATTTGATAAGAAGACTAATGATTTCAACCCCCAATAACCTTTAAGATAATAAACAGTTATTTTGTTGCTGGATATAATAAGATAAATGCTAACTCATTTCAATTTATTGATTTTCAAAGATTCATACATTATAAGAAATAAAGTTGAAAGAGGGCATTGATTTATTTTAAAAGCCATTCTACTTCAGAAAAGAACATTAATGTTTCCATGAAAGAATGAAACATCAAAAGCAATGCATTTCTTACATTGTTAAAAAAAAAACAAAACACCACAAACTTGGTTAAAGCTGAAAAATCAAGCTTTCATCTGCCACTTCTGGTAATTAAGTCCATATATATCAATATCTATCTCTCTCTATATATATATATGAACTTAATATATATACATATATATATATAACACTTTTTAAAAAACTTAGATGATATGAATATAAAATAATACATCTCTATTTCTGGATTTTTAAATTTAATATTTTTAAGAGATTATAGCCAAAAAATATATTCTCAACATAGCAGTAATAGACACTTGAAAAAATACTATAGCTAATAGGTTTTGTTTATCAGAGTTAATGTATTTGAAATGTTAGCATAGAACAACTAGATAATTCAGTTTTGCCCTAAATAATCAGACTCCTATTTTATTTTGGAAGATGAAATAATTATTCCTATAGCCAATTCAGTGTTTTGTTCTGCTGTGCATAAGGTCACTATGAGTCGGTACCGACTCAATGGCACCTAACAACAACAAAATAGCCAATTCTACTTGAAGAAAAGAAGTCTTTTACGAATCTTTTGAAGATACCTTATTGAGATTCTATAATTAGTAATCCAATCATATTTCATTAGTGAAATATACTAAACATGCTGCACATCTTATTTTAAGGACAAGGGGAAAGATACAGCAAAATTGCACTTACTATACCAGAACTTCCAGACATTGGAAACATTCTCTTCCACAAATCCATTAAACCAACATCTCCAGAAGAATCCTTCATGGTGGAAGGTGACATTCTCTATCTGTACAGAATAAAATTAAGTATCCTGCCATTAGCACAAAGGAATATATAGTCAAAATGATCATGTCCAGAAAACCTTTAATGAAGTATACATTAGCCAAAAGAGCTATTATTAATAGATTTCTGCATATCTCTTTTATGAAGAAATATACGCTCTACTATTCTCAGATTCCAAGGGAAATTTATACATGTTGATCCTGATCACTACCAAGTATATCAAAATATTGAAGAAGAAACTTACATTCTGTTCATTTGAACATCTCCCCACTTCAGTTGCAAGAAGCCAGTAATCTGATCCAAAAGCCACCAAAAAAATTAAAACCCCCAAAGCACCAAAAAGGGCCCCAAAGAAGATGGCGACATTTAGTCTCATTTTTAATTCAGTGCTTCAGTTTAAATAAAACAAGAACAAAATGAAAGGCAAAATAATTAAGAAGAGCTGGCTCTCAACAACAAGAAAAGAAAAAAGGAACAAAGATTTTTGAGCAGACAGACTCTTCTTGAGAAGCCTCTTCTTAGCTCATGTTTTGGTGACTTCTCACTCACACCCAGAGATGGACTTGTATTCCCTTTGCTCTCTACTGGAGGGCCTCCAGCCCAGCAGCTGAGAATGGCTGGCTATTTTTGGATTGATTGAGGAACTGTCTTTCTCCCATGGGGATCAAAAAATAGCTGACCTTCCCCTGACTACAGAGGGGACTCTTAGGAGCTGGCTAGAATGATCACGATTGCTGTCGGGTAAGCCATAGAACTAAAAAGATTATAGAATGGCCATGAAGTCATTGGCAGTACTGACCCCAAATTTTAAGTGTCTGGACAAGCACCTCTTCATCTAAGATGACCATTACAAGCTAAATAACAAACCCAAAGAACCTTAATCTTCTCTTTGAAGATACATAAATCACAGTTATAAACAACTACAAATAATGTCTCTTGAATACGGTTGAAATTGCAATTAATTTCTAAATTCCTCTTGGACATGTTTGGCATACAAACAAATTTGAGGATCAAATGATGTAGCATAATACTGAATACAGTTCAGTTTACAATTTAGACATTCATATATGTCAAGTAAAATCAAGAATATTCATGGTAGCATAAGTTCTTTTAAAATATTTATAGTGTTGGGCACTATAACTACTTATACAGCTCACACATGTGAGATATAAAACAGCACTTTCTATAGATGCTCACAAATCTTAGGCAAATTATTCTAAAGATCATCCCTTCTGTAAAATAGATCAGTTAATAATAGACTCAAATAAATATTTATATTTAGATGAAAGCATAGTCTTTGTTTTCTGTTGCCTTCCTCATTTTAAATATACATACTCCTCAAAACATGAGCCATTCTTAATACCCATACAAATCATCTTATAGCATGGACTCTGCACTTTCTTCATGCCATAACTCTTCACAATTCATTTGTTTGTTTTCTCTAAATAAGTGAGTGAATATGCCAGAAAGATGATATTTTAAAGAATTTATGTGATATTTGAAAACTTGCACTACCCCTTTGATCATGGCTCTCAACAATTCTGTATTCTCAACATGGACCACTTCATTTTCCAAAGTGGCATCTAAACTTGAACAGCTTCCTTCAACAGCTTCCTTTGCTTGGATAGATCCTTAGGATGGGTTTGGTGAGGGTAAAAAGATGACTCCTTACTTAGACTGAAGGGTCATGGTCAGCATCAGTCAGACCTAAAGGTTATAAAATCACTGACTTGGAGGGGTCAAATAAATCTGGGTGTATCTGAGTTGACCCTTCAACTAATATTCAAATCTCATTTATAATACATACACACTGTTTCAAGTCATGGTATTTCCAGGCTATTGCACTGAAAGACATCAATAATAGTCACACCGCTCTGCTTTGCATCTGCCAAAAGCTGCTTCCTAGGAGTGTCCAAATATTAATCCTAGCTGTGTCCTCTGAGATTACCCAGCACAAGTTTAAACCTTCTGTCATCTGATTGAACTTTCAGATATTTTAAAGACAGCAATCACCTCATGCTTCCTCAAACCACAATCCCCACCCCACATGCATAAATACAGTTCTCCATTTCTCTACATTAAATACCCTGTACCTTCAAGGAGCTCTGGTAGCATAGTGGTTACGAATCGGGCTGCGAACCTTAAGGTCAGCGGTTCCAAACTACCAGCCGCTCCTCAGGAGAAAGATGAGGCTTTCTACTCCCGTAAAGATTTACACCCTCGGAAACCCTGCACAGGGTCGCTATGGGTCGGAACCGACTCAATGGCACTTAACAACAACAACAACAACCTTCAAATATCCCTTAGATTGTCACACTACCAAACAGGCTCTCTATTCTGGTTCTATATGTCAAGTTTCAAGTAACTTATTCAGGCAAAACCTAGTAAAATATTCTGGGTATAGTCTAATGATTTAATGCCACCACCTTCTTTAATTGGATTGCTGTGATAAGCAGAATAATTACCTCCCAAAGATGTGTATACTCTAATCCTTGAAGTTGTGAATATATTACCTTACATCACAAAAGAGACTTTGCAGGTGTGATTAAATTAAAGATCTCCAGATAGGGAGATTATCCTGGGTTATCTGGGTGTATCTAACCTAATTACATGTGTCCTTTAAAAATCAACAACAACAAAACAACTAGAGAAACTTTACTCGCAGTGCTTAGAGGATGTGGCTACGCAAAAAGGGTCAGTGTAGTTGACTTTGAAATGAGAGGAAGAAAGAGGCCACAAGTCAAAGAATGTGGGTAGCCTCTGTTGTTATGTGCCATTGAATAAAGTCCAACTCATAGCAACCCTATTTCCGAGGAAGGGCTGGTAGATTTGAATCACCAACCTTGTAGTTCAAACTGATCTTGTGGTCAAGTGCTTATCCTACAGCACCCCACCAGGACGTGCTTTCAAATCATTTGTGACTCACAGCGACCTTATGTCTAGGAGAAGGAAACATTGTACAGTCCAGTGCCATCCTCACAACTACACTATGTTTGAGCACATTATCACAGCTACTTTTTCAATCCATCTCATAGAGGGTCTTCCTCTTTTCACCAGCCCTCTACTTTACCAAGTATGATGTCCTTCTCCACAGACTGGTCCCACTTTGTTACATGTCCAAAGTGCATGAGACAAAGCTTTGCCATCCTTACTTCTGATGAGCATTCTAGCTGTACTTCTTTCGAGACAGATTTGTTCATTCTTCTGGCACTTTGTGGTCTATTCAGTATTCTCAGTCTTTAGTATCTGGGAAAGGAAAGAAAACAGATTCTTCCCTAGAGGCTCCGGGTAGGAAGCCCTGTTAACACTTTACTTGGAACTCAGTGAGACTCCTACGGGATTTCTGACCTCCAGAACTGTAAGAAGATAAATTTAAGCTGTTTTAAGTCACCAACTTTGAGGTAATTTGGTATAGCAGTGATAGAAAAGTCATACAGAATTAGAGTTACCACTCACGGCATTTGTAACTGCCTTTTTTTCTTTTTTTTTTGTACATCTTAGCAATAGTAATATGCACTACGGATAACATAAGCACTGGACTACAAGATAGGTTCAAACTACAAGGTCAGTGGTTCAAACCCACTCAGTGGTTCAAACTCCTTGGAAACCCTATACAGGTTCACTATGGGTTGGAACCAATTGGACAGCACTTAGCAACAACAACAACATTGCAACTGATGTTATCATTTTCAGATGTTCACTGAAAGATGTTTAAAGTTCATATTTATAAAGATTGTTGTTGTTAAGTGCTGTGAGGTCAATTCCAACCCTTGATCTTGTGATTCAAACCGATCTAGAGGTGGAGAAGTGGAGTGCTTATCCTACGGTGCCACACCAGGACTAATAATCAAAGACATTAATAATGAAAACTTTAAAAAAAAATAAGTTTTAGAGCCAGGAGGTGGGGCTTGATGGCAAATAGGGTAGAGGTGCAGTGAAGATCTCTGTCAGAAATACTACAGAATACCAGATGAAGTGGGTGTTCAGTGCAGAGCTCCACATAGGTAGGAATATTTTTAAAGTTTGAAGGCTTATAGCTAGTGGAACTTGCAGCAGAACTAAGAAATCTCAGACTTTAGAATCTGCTGGGCTCAGTGGCCGGGAGCATGGGCAAGACCAAACAGTGGGACCAGGCAGGGGAACAAGCAGACCCACCGGGAATTAACAACCGTGGGAATCTCGGAGAAAAG